GGGGGGGGGGGGGGGGTAACCCAGGCCTTGTGGTTTCTGTAGGGATATCTGTTCCAAGTCATTAAGTATTGTGCTAAGAAGTTACAGTAATAGCACTTCAACAGAGTTTCCAGAGGGAGCTTCCGAAACTGGAGGAAAAGCTGACAAGTTTCAATGCATTTATCAAAGCACTTTAAGACGGATGAAACAACGTACATGCCTAGCAAAGAACGTCCATCGTTCTGGGTGCCCAGAGCATTTCAGTAAATAAAAAAAAAGATGTTTAAAAGAAAAAAGTAAATCCGACAGAATTCCTTTTAGCTTTTGCCAACACTTTTACCCAGCGCAACCCTCCCACATGTAATACTGTGGTGTGTACATTTATTTTTATACACACGAACACATATACACATATATACATGCGTACCTATATACACACACACACACACACACATCCATACATACATATACAGTATATATTGTATATATTGTTTTGTAATTTTGGGATTAAATATGCCACCTTATGTATAAAAGTACTTGTTAGTATTTATTTCAGTGAAGTTATTTTATAGGCAACTTTTCTGCAGCAGGAACAGACAGAGAGAGAGAGAGGGGGACAGAGAGAGAATGCTTTGAGCAAAATCTAAGCTGCGCATATGGTATAATATTTTCAAAAGCACCAATGTGACTTTTGAAAATGGGACTTAGGCCAACTTTTGAAATTTAGCTCTCAGCTCCCACAGCCAGCAGCATTTTAACCACAGTGAACTGCTTGCACTTGCTCATGCCACCACATCTTCTTTTAAGCATACCATTCTATGGAAATCACCAAAGGAAATCCAAAGAGGAAAATAAAAAGCCCCAAAGGTTTCAAGAGCTGCCCCAAAGCAGGAAGAGATGCAGCATTGTCACGGTTACACCCTTCTTGGCATTTTCATCACTTGGATTGTACCCAGGCGGATATTGAGGATTTGTCTGGGTGTAGCATGGGAGACACCCATGTTTTTCTCCTTATGGGAGCACAGAGAAATTGTTGGGTATGGCTAGATGAGGCTATAATTATCTCAGTAATAAATCCGATTCTTCACGGTCCTTTACCTCTTGCAGCCAGGTACACTTGTGCAAAAGGGTACAAAACACTACTAGATCAGAAAGGCAGCATTTTACATTAGTGTAAATAAGTAACACTGGGGCAAAGCATTGGAAGATAAAGACCTCTACATCAGTGCTCCCACTGTGATGCCCTTTAAAAAAACAGGGTTACATACAAATACATTATTCAGTAAGGGTAGCAAACTCGGGGGGGGAGGGAAGGGACCATTTCTTCTTTTTTCCATGTGGACAGTGTCTAGTCCAATGGGGCTACATGCCTGACAGAGGTCCCATTTCAATATAAAGAATAAAAGAAAATGCAGAACTGTAAGAATAAATACAGCTAAAAAGTTGCACGTGTGTGATGTCCGCTCCAACACAGTGATCACAGCAGTTTTTTTTTTTTTTTTTACTGGAGACTAAAGTGCCTGGATTGGTGGCATAGCTCAATGGAGGAGAAGGCACGGTAGATTTGTACCTTATGGACTAACTAAATCAGAGATGCACAGCATAAGCTTTGGTAAGCAGCAGCTGACTTCATCAGACGTTGAATGGAAGAAGCCACAAAGCAGAAACAGATAAAGTACTTGTACATCAGTACTGGTTCAAAGCTAAGGTAGTTTAAAAGACTCTCTGTGTTAATGTTAAGCCAAAATGGGGTTATGATGTGAATCTTGGGGTTAAAAAAAAAAGGAAGCAGTGAAAACTCCCTTCTTTCCCATACAATATAACAGCTTTTAAAAACATGTCTTGGGAACAGTTTCAAATATGTAAAACTTCTCTCATTTAACACCCAATAACTGTTGGTCAGCCATGAAACTTCGGAAGTACCTGAATTTCCCGTTAGTGACCACAGCCGATGGGGTGACCCTAGGTACCGGACAAGCTGTAGAAGCAAAACCCCATGTCGGGTATGTAACATTACTACTCAAAACTAATATTTTTGTAACAGGGAAAAGCTTCAAAAGGTCCAAGTAAAAGTCAGGTTGCCACACAGAGAATCTCAGAATGAAATGATCCCAATTTCCATAGGAAGTGAAAATTGGGGATAGAGAAAGGGGAGGTGCAGGACATCTTCCTATTACACAACATGCGAATCCAAGTATATAGTTCACGTGACAACAGAGGGAGCTCAGCTCAAGAGCTGTACAGTCAGATTTCTAGAAAATGAGTGCCGTGCTGGCCAAAGCAGACTAGTGAGTCAACTGCACGAGAGATGTGCTTCCAAAATGGATACCATTTTTTTTGGTCATGCTCTATGACATTGTTTCTTACGTAGTTTTTCAGCCATAAAAAGGTAAAGGCGTGTAGATTTGCGGGCGTCTGCGCGGGAGAGAAAGAGACGGACAGAGAGAGACTGAGAGTCGAGTGCTCTCTCTGGATCTGTCCCCTATTGAACTCATCTGGTGTGAGATGGAGATAGAAGCAACAGATCCCGACAGTGCTGAGCTGTTATGGCCATACCTTCAGGAAAAGTCCAAGAACTATCAATAGACTTTCCTGAGCAACAGATCAATACGGTGCTTCATATCAGCCAAGCTGTTATTCACGCCAAAGGCGGTTGTTTGGATGAAGGGAATGACTGAGTGCACAAGTTCACTGTATCACAGCGTATAGCTTTAGTTTTTTTTTTTTTCCTGTAGATGCCTTCATTATTTATGTGTGACAAACAAAATACAGCGGTTCAG